GTGTTGGGATTTCACTATCCATGTTTAGAGGACTTTTTTAAAATGACTTTAAAATAAGAAATAGCATAACCATGTATGAAATGGTTAAGAAATAACCAAAGCATAACCATTGATCGCATGAATAAACTTCAGAGCTTGAAGAGATTGAGCTTCGCCTCAAGACGACATTTGAAAAACATAAAGAATTTGAACAAATCCAACAAAATAATTTTTGAATTGCTTTTCTTCATGCACAGAGATCTAAATCGTTTGAGTAAAAATCAGTTGCACAAGCAGGCTGTGTAGTCAACATAGCATGGGAAGTCCTTCTGTGATTTCCTGCCCTAACCCACCTATTAAGAAGGTCTTCAACATACTGAAGAAAAAAGCCAAATCCAAAGCCTCAACAAATTTACAGACTCTACAGGGACTGTGCTCAGTCTCACCATCTTTGTCTCCAGGAAAAGCTCTCCCACAAATTTCCTCAAGTGCTGAAGTGTGAAGAGCATCAGGACTACTTTGTAGTTTATGAAAGGGTTATAGAAGTTTAAAGTTGTATGATTTCAGGACATAAGACACGTTTCAAGAGACAAATCTCATTTTGATAAAACATACTAAAAATATTCTATAGTCAGGTCATTTAATGTGCCCCAACTGAATTTTGATGAACTTGCCACCTACAAAAAATCTGCTTAAGGGAAAGCGCTATGTATCTGTTAAGCATTAATGTATGAATTAATGAAAGTGTCTCTGACTAATGCCAACCAAGGAGAAAACATGAGGTTTTTTCTTCAGAAGCCAACTCATCATGTATTATTTTTAATGATGCATTCCATAAAAGACAGTTTTCAGCTTTTATGCAGTTAAAAACCCTGTTTACTCAAATACCTTTCCTATTTCAGTATCTTTAAAATTAGACAAAAGACCACCTGACAGTTTATGAATTTTCCACTTAACTGTTCAAATGGAAGAAAACAGCCATCAACCTTTCCCAGCTCCTTACCCTAGGCACAAGTGAAAGATCTAATCCCTATGCTCTCAGCATAAGGCTAACCATTTTGATATAAACACCAGAAAGTGTCTAACACAAGGCTAATTAAAAACCTCTTAAAAATAGGATACATTTCAATAAAAGGGGGAGAAAAAAATCTCTTGTTAGGAGTTAACAATGTCTTTCTCATTATCAAACCTACATAATACAAGTATTATTTCCATGCCAATAAAGGATGGCCTTAAGGAGAATAGATGAAGTGTTATGGGATTTTGTTTACTCATCTCAACATGCAGACTGAAAACCATCTTCTCATCCAGCCCATATTTAGCCTGGATTTGGTGCAACCACTGTCATTTTACAAGACAAGACTGTATTATTACTATTTTCATCCTGTGTCTAGCGCAAATCCCTAGTTATAAAGCAGAACCCCACTGTGCTTGGCACTAGACAAACATAAATCAACAGAGACAATTATACAAATGCCAGATTACCTGTTCACAACAGCATGGAAGACTTACACTAATAAAAGCTTTCTGGTACATTAATCTTGCTGTGAGGGAGCCTGGAATTTTAATCTGGAGAACCCTGAGCTTTGATTTTATGAAGTACTTAAGGAAAGCAAATGCAAACGGGTAAAGCATATAGCAGGGGATGAAGTATTCTTTATTCTCTTCCCATGACAAGCCTACATTCAAGCTGACTTGGTCTTGTACATCTTGCTTCTAACACCGATTTTCCAGACTAGAAAGTACTTCTTCATTCTAGAAGCAACAGAAATAATTATTTATGCATAAAAATTTTACAGACTGTCACACTTGCTGTTGCAATTACTCATTAACAGCACTGGTGCTGTTGGGAGACAGACGTGGATCTATGTAGCCAGTTTCCCCTTTCTACATCTGCTCCACACCTCTTCATCTGTCTTACACATTTATGAACAGTAGAGCTAAAGAAGAGGCTGGCTGCACTCACAAAAGTGCACTAAGCAAACATTAGTATTAGCTTGTTTTAAACCCAAACATAAGCATCCCTAAGCTACTGTAACAGCATGAGCTGTTCTGTGCCCAAGACTATTTTAGCATCACCACTGCCAATAACAAACCAGAAGCTTTAAATTAACTGTGCCTTATGCACTAAGCCCCAGTGCTGGCCATTAGGCTTGTTACCAACTTGTGCTGGAATGTCCTGCGTAAACTGGACCTTGATACCAGATGTTTCTTTTGGGGATGTCGGTTAAGGACAGGATAACAGTAAAGGCCTTGAAAATATGGCCAAGTTTGAAAACAAAGGGTCCCAGAATCCATAATTCCTGGCTACTGAACAGCGATCAAACTGCCACACATCCGCAAAGCTGGGCAAGCTTTACTTTTGCTTTAAGAATAGAAACAGCAGCTGAGGAAAATCAGCAAACAAAACCAGCCAAGCTACAGGACAATGCACATGCTTCAGCCTGGGAAAGTACTCATTAAGCTTTTGCAGCTCTAGAACCAGCATAAACACAACACGTTTATAAATGGGTAGAATGCCCCATGTGGTCGGGCAGGGAGAAGAGCTGCAACATGTTCATTATTGTTTCAGCTTCCCTTTGTAGACAGGTTTTGAGTCCTACCTCCTGAACTACAGTGACCCAGGCAATCATGAACTGCGCTATACACACCACATCTACTCTGTGGTTCTGCATACTCACAGATAGAGATTGTGAAGGTTTCACTGACTTTAGAGTGATAGTGACTGATAATGGATATGAACTAAGCATTCAGCACAGTTAGAGCATCAAACGCACAGTTAAAGAAAGTCAGTCTGGTGAAATTTTGTTTAAAAGTTTAAAACTGGCTGATCTGTCTTCTAAGCATTCCCACGGCAGCAATCTTTCCTTCTCTAATTGACATAGATACACACATATTCATAACAACAAATATTACCAGAACTTTGTGGAGCCGTGTAATGAACTAGGATTATTATGACATTGTTTAATTTTTATATGTGGAATGTGACACTGGCAAACATAAAATACAATTGCAAAAATGTGTGAAATTCATATCATCATTGTCATGACTGATGAACACACAAAAATCTTGCCTGCGCAACTCAAACATTAGACAGGGGGTCAAGTACCAAAACTGAATCACTTTCAGCAATCTTCCAGAGATGAAAGCCAAAAATAAACCAGAAACAAGCATATCCCACCAAGAAGCAATACGAATAAAATACTGAAACATAGGTACAGGAGATGGATGTTTAATATATGTCAAAGCAAGAGGTTAAAATTCAGCTATCATGTTTTTACTGATGTTTCCAAAACAGCCAGCCAGAAAAATGTGACAATTTCACCACTACATAAAAAGAGAAAAAAGAGTAAAAGAGAATTAGACCTGTGGAAAGATTTCCAATACAATGTGGGCAGATAGGTCACCATAACAGCTTCTAGCAGTGAACTCCAAAACCACTTCTCGGACCTCTGCCATACCTCTCAGGTAGACAAAGTGCATCTTAGAACAACAACAAGGTAAGCAAACAGATTTTCATTCTCCTAAGAGGATGTGTACTCCTATGTGAAAGGATATAAATGTGAATTGTAAATTAGCTTCAAATTATAGACTGGAGTCTGGCAAGAACACAGTAAATTGGCAACGCAGGGATGTACTTACATAGAAATCTTCATTATCTTTCATAGGAGTACGAAAGATAGAAGACTGGCTACTAAGCACCAATAATTGTTTTGAATTAATCATTCTGTGGGTTAGCCAAAGCAAGTAGCAGCTCTTTTACTACCAATGATTTGGAACAAGTCACTTTGTATTTAAATCCTGGCTGTACTTCAAATTTCTGTACTGCAGCAAGTAGTACAGTGCCTTTTCTGAAGGCAAAGAAACGAGGCCGTAGGTTTTTTCCCCCAGTCAGGTTCCCAACACTTGTTCTTTTTTTCCAATTTGGTTTTATAAAAGGTTAGTACATCCACTGGTAGAAAACACATTTTCCCCATTTTAACAATAGGAATTGCATGAGTTTCTAAGGTATGTGTATAATTTTCTGACATTTAAATTAAGTATCTCATACATACAACAAAAAGTTTCACTCTAGCATCCAGCAACAATCCAATTATGTAAATGATGCAATTATCACTTCTTCCATGCAAGTTTAGTGTCATACTGGCTCTAAAATTTACTGATGCTAAAGAGAAAAAGGGCTTCAAAGTTGAGTTGTCTTCAAAGACATTTAAGAACTGATGAAACATCCTGCAATGTGATGCTCATATTCTTAAAAGGTATTATTTTTAGCACACTTCTTTTAGGAATATCGGTACTCTGCGTTCCTGGTGAGATGGATTAGCTCTCTAATCTGACTGACAATTAACCTGGCAAGCAGACAAATACACATACAAAGTATTTTCTTTCATTTTCACCTAAATTAGCCAGACAATCCAACAGACTGGCCATGAAACCACCAGTGCCAGTGCAATGGAGAGGGTGGCTTAGAGCCAGTCTCTTAGCTGCTTTACACAGGCTTAAACCAGCTGTGAGACCTCATTCTGAGATACAGAATAAACTCTGGTCTTTTCTGGTTTTTTAAAAAAGAAAATACTGCCAAGACTAAGCAAAGACTAATCAGTAAGTCACTAGGGGCTCATCTTTTACAATGCAAAGAGTGAAGGAAGAAAAAGCAAAGGTCAGTCATAAACACTACCAATTCCCATGAACAGAGCAGAGGGTATGTCTCAGCCCTTGTCTGAGATCAGGACATGCAGGATGTGCGTGTGTTCCCTGTACATTACTGTGCTCAGAAATGAAGGTAGGTAATGAGTGCTAAGTTTGAAGTTACCCATCTTCTGATACCGCTAGTCTTGAACTACAGCGTGGTTCAAGATCCAAACACACGCCTGAGCAAAAGGATGAGCTATATTCAGCTCAAAGCCAGCAGAGGACTTGTCTTTAGAAGGGACCAGTAAGCAAAGAAAGCCACATAATTGCAATGGGAATGCAAGATGATAACAGAAAGCAAAATATTCTTCCTGTGGAAATCTCTAGCCTCATATTGTTCTGTGTGCTGTACAACATTACCTTAGACACATACAAAGCTGAAACAGTCCAATATATTTTGCTATGCATAGCTGTATTCACAGAGACAACCTGTAAATCGTACGGGTTGTAGGGAGCTTTAAAGTTGTTCCTGTTTCATTGAAGACAATATATATATATTTCCCACTATCTTCTAGCACTAGAGGTGTCTGTCAAAAGAGGAAATTATTTATATGTAGATATACAATTTGTTTTTCAGGATTACAAGTCATATATCTCTAGATTTGATCATGAAAACATAAATACAGTATTCAAACATCCGCATAACAAGTTTAGTAATAATTGACCTGCAAGTTATTCTCTTATCATCACATTTTTAAATTCTGTTATTTCCACTCTAAATAATATTTCATTTCTACCAGCAGCTACTTCAATATTACTATTTCTTGTTGAGAAAAGTCTCCCATGACCTTGTTAGTATTCTAAATTTCGTATCCAAACTTGAAACTTTTCAATAATTCAATTTCATCACCTATAAAAACTGTTAAGCATTGTTAAGCTTAAAAAACACCACAAAGCCTTTAAGTAGCAAACACCCAACAGTTAAAGACTAGAGACATCAGTGGTATCTAGGCGTTTTGAAAATACATCATTTTAATTGGAAGAAATTGTAGACTTGTGGACAACTATAATGCTTCCTAAATATTTTGCAGTCATATCTGAAATGGGAAGTCCCAAGGGATAAACACAAATTTTATTTTCATTTTGTGTCCAAAATATTTCACAACATTGTGCACATTGAAATAAACCTGGTGGTTTTTTTTCTGTATTGTTTATTATTTTTTGTTCATGAAAAAGCGTGCATTTAACTTAATCATTAATTATAATGTTTACTTATAATTAAACCAGATACGTGTGTGTCTGTCATTGAATGAACCAAACTAGTAAGAGAACACAGGCAAGCTCCCATGCGGCTACACCAAGAACAGCTTGCCCAGTATCACTCAACAAATACTGCCCTCCTGATTGGCATGTCTGATCTGGACAGACATGACCACTAGTCCGCTTAGTGTTAGAACAGCTTAATTATTGGGAGCATTGGCTAAGTGCTACGTTTAAGTGATTGCTATGCAACCAGAGATGGAATAAGTAGTTCCAGGTACCACTATTCTCCTTTCAGTATTATTCTAGGTACCATTTCTTCCCAGAACCCTGCTATGGTTCTGACCATTGAAAAGCATAATGTGGTTTCCACTTCCTATATATAAAAATTACAATTCAACTCTGCTAATAAGAATTAATTCTAATAGTTTATTCTTTTTAAACATTTTGTTGATTCTAAGAACAGATCTGTCCATTTTAAGCAGCAAAAACTTGCAGGAAATAAGTATTTTAGATTCATAACCAACATCATTTCTGTGTAATTAATTGCACAGGATGTGAGAAGAAAGGTAAAAATCACCTTAAGTGTGAACTTCTGAAATCTGGCCACATCAGCCTCTCCAGGTAACAATTCAGATGACTGCACATTTGTTTGCCAGCCAAGTTTGCTTCGAAGCCTCAAGATATGTGTTGTAGCATCATCATCAATTGCTTCTGAAGAAAAAAGAAAAGGTTGTGGGGTTCCCTCCCTTAAACACAAAATCTTTGGATTCATCGCACGAGCAAGCCAACCAGCCAGCCATTCATTCCTTAGTTTCATTCCATAAGCCTTAACAAGTGTGGGGGATTGTTCTAATGTTATTTAGACTGAGTTGGAAGACACTGAAAATGTGCCCTAGAAGGTCTTACTCCAAATTTCCCTGCAGCTGAAGAGCAGTGGTTCAAATGTCTGCAAAGCAATTTTTATTTCCTGAGATTTAACACTGATCTTTGGTGTAATTTACACAGCAGAATTCAAAGTACTCGGCAGAAAACATGATTTACAGGCCAAAGACTTTTTCAAATGCTTAAAAGACTGAAAGAAAAGGCTTCTGAAGTCAGAGCAAAATCTCAGCTAAACAAAAAGAATGTTGACAACAAAAGAATAACTATTTTTCTTCTTAATATTGAAAAGAAAGTTCTTTTTACATGCAAACATGCCTCCCTTTTAGAGATCAGACCAATCAGGTCCAGGATAGAGGAACAACTCCCCAGCTGAACAAAACTACTATAAGCATTATGGAAAACAATTTGAGAAGTCCTGGAAAGCACTAAAAATATTTTTTCCCCCATGTTTTTTAACCCCTATTACAATGTGCATAGAAAACACTGTAGACAAGCCAAAAACAAAATCCAGTTGTGGTATCACTTCCTCAGGCTTTAATGGAGAAATAATGGCCAAAATCTCTTTTCCTCCACCCTACTCCTGGAAGGCAAGTGGGAAACATAACTACTCCTTGCAAATCCCCTGATTAAAAGAAAACTTACTGTAGCTAACTATGAAATATAAAAAAATAAAATAAAAAATTCAAATGCTAGCTGAAATTCTGCTCTGAGATCAGGTATTAAAAAAGACCCCAAACATCAAAAAGTAAATACAGAGGGTAAAGTTATTAGCCTTTGAAATAGAGTTTAAAATTACAGTACTCTCTCATTTACAGCTTTTCCTTACAGGTGTACACTTACTCTGAACACAGGAAAGAGATGAGTAGCTAGTTGAATATATTCTCCATTAAATGAATGTAAATCTGAAGTTAAGACACTGGCTGTACAAGCATAACTGATAGCACAGTCTTCCCCCATGCTGCTGCAAGTTACATACCTGTTCTATCATAAGAACAAACTTTGGTTCTGAAGGGCTTTTTAGAAGGTCTTTCAACTTCTGGTTGCTCACGAGCCTTTTTATGGCAACTTGGTTCCAATACTGCTGTTTGCATTTCAGTCTTTCTAACATTATCTGTAACTGACACATCAAAAAGGAAAATACGAGTCGTTTAAAGCAGATCATTATGCACAATTACTTTCTAATTTGTTAATCTTCCTACAAATTTAAATTTCTGCAGTGTCTACTTCCCCAGATGCATTCTGATGGGCTTAATGAAGCTGTTTCTTTTTGTTGACAGTATATTAAAACTTGTATTCAAGATCATCATTCAATATGGTTGAATGGGAAATGTAGCACTTGTTTCCTATGGGGTATGGAGGATAACATTCACTTTGCCTTTTGCTTGGCCATGTTTATGACTAGAAAACCTTTTCATCTATTCTGAAAGACAGAAAGCCTGCACCCCATGAAATGCACTGCTCGGCAATACCCAAATCATTGGCGCTTTACCAACACTGTTCTAGCAGTTTACACATGCAAAGCGCAGCACCATACAGACTGCTTCAAAGAAAGTTAACCCCATCCCAGCCAGAGCCACCCTACAATTCAATGCTTTGTTTTACAAGGCAGTTTCTCAATTTCCTTTTTCAATGTGCTGAAGACATATAGGACACAACTGATTCAAAAATGTTTTTTGCAAGTTTCATTCAAAGCCTAATCCAGAATTTACTGACAGTAAATGAGCTTCAGCTTGCAGATCTGCTTAAACTTTGACCCATTGCCATCAGTTTGAAACTTACAATGACTTTCAAAGAGCAAGAATTGCTATCACAAGAGCTGCTAAGTCTTTGTGAGTAGTTTCCTTTCGTCAAACATACAACCATGAATTATGCTTTTGTACTTCAGAGAGATGATCTCACTTCACTCTTCAGAAAATCCCAAATTGGTTGGAGGACAATAGAAAAGACAATTGCACATTTAGTTTTAATTATAGCATACTGGAAAAGGCACTTTTGAGACCCATTGCAGAGCCTTCTCACTTAAAGAAACTTTCAGCAGGTAAATCCACACATGAAGGAAGCATGGATAACTGACTTTTTAAAATAAGAATAAACACTTTTATGCACTTTACAGTTGGTATGCTGAGTTATAGTTTGTTTTACATCTCCACTATTCCATTTTTTCCCTTTTGGTTTTTGAAAGATCTGTAGTTTTGCAAGAGTCTTTTCTATATTCATCTCCTACAATTAAAGTGTGGTTTGCATCCCCTTAAATGCCCAGAGGAAGAAGATCATTCCCTTCCAAAGGCTTTAGAGAGAAGGACAGAGTGTATGTTCGTATTACATCTGCCCATTGCAGTATTACATCTCACCAAATATTAGAAGCCTAGTAAATCTGTTATTTTCAGCAGAAAAAAAAAAGAAAATTAACTATCAGATGACACCTGAAGTAAAAACCTGGAATACCAGTGACTTACAGTATTCTTTGTTAGAAATGCACTGGGGGACACTGTCCATTTACAACTGTTTCGAAAAGAACAGTTACAACGATGAGGAAAGAAAGTAATCTCTTTTATTACCCCTCTTTCTGTCATTTTGGGTTTTTTAACATGCACATAAGACAAAGGTGGTGTGCCAAAACCATGCTGAGCTCCTTTGCAAGCAGAAGTTGTGGGAAGTGTCATTTTCAAATGCTCACTCTTTGACATTAAGGATGTTGGTTTTGTTGTGCTGCTTTTTAACTTTGTCTCATGCTCTGAAATGCTAGTAGGCTGACAAACAGATTGTTCTCTTCCCTCCTTATGTATTCTTGTGAGTCTAAAACTGAACAATATAGTCTTTTAGGAAGGAAAAAAAATAAGAGAAGATTCAGTTCTACAGGCAAAATAGAACAATCAACTAAAATAAGACTTGTAAAATGGTTTGCATTTATGATGAGGATACAGCTGTCCTAGGACACAGAAGAAGAGCTTTGTTCACTATGAATAAGATAACAGTGAGGGTGGGGAAAGAACCCAAACTAAAATTACAGCCCTACCTCTTGTGTTATCGGCATCAGAAGCAGGATTGCATAGCTCCTGACCATATTATTTTGATTAGCCGAAAAGAGCTCGAAGATTAAGCTAAATTTAGGCCCAGGAAACACAACTAAGAAAATGCTACTTAAAAAAAGAAATCAATGCTATAATTTGTTCTCATTCTTAGTAATTCGAACAGCACGGTATCTGCTATGATATAATAAGCAGTATTTTGTTAATTAAATGCTTTCCTAGAGAAAGCATACAAAGAAGAACCTCGTAGCACAGGATTTGCATTATCTTGAGGGTTCTTCAAGTTCGTTCTTGGAGTTGTAAACCAATCTGAAAATCTCTTAAGTTAAATACACATGAAAATGTAATTCAAGGTTAAGCTAGAGAGCTCTGAAAAGTGTATGCACTACATTAGCTTGCCTGTGTGAAAACATAAGAAAAACAACCAGCAGCAGTTGAAATGCAAAGAAAAGAAGAACACAGAAAAGTTAGCGACACCAGCTTCTTGTACAGCTTGCAGGTGACAGCCTCTGCCTGCACTAAAAGCACACACAGTTTAGAGACATTTTTAATCTCCAAAGTTCAAAAAAAGTTCCCATCTCAGTACAAAATGGAAAATAAATAAAACCCATCAAGGAAGTAGTGATTTCACGCACAGTTTGCTCTCATTTACCCAATTACATCTTTAATAACAACCAAAAATAAACCACTGGAACAGTGGTGGGAAAACAAATCAAGATATTTATACTTCAGCCATTGGCCCAACTCTGTTGTGAATACGCTGTAAAAAATTCAGGCTATATAATTCAGACTGAAAAGGCTAATTCATAATCCATCTTACATCGGAGTGGCAATGGCATCAAAGAAGAATCATTTCGAAGCAGCTGAAACTGTCTAAAACTCACATGCGTGAACTTTCTGCTTTAGCAACAGCCTACACAGACTAAATATGCACAAAAGAATGAAATATCAATGCAAAAGTCTTGAAGTTTCTCTTCCAGGACAGAATTCCAACATACAAACTACTAAAAGGAAGGAGTGAGTGCTATTTGCACAAGAAAACAAAAAATCATCTCAAAAGTTCTCTGTTCCATAACTTCTTTCTCCTCCAGCTAGGACACTGTTGCACTGCACTGCTCTGCCGTCATCTTTCTTAGGTCAATAGATCAGTATAAACTTCCCCTGTAATGGCCCTCATTCGCTATGAATTACATTTTCCATGTGATAACATGCAATCAAATATGAGCATTTATTCCAAAAGATAAAAAAGCACAAACCCTGGCTGGAAAGAAGAATTATGGTGGTTAGCAACTATCTTGTACTTGAGTCTATGAATGGAGACTCTATCTTCTTTCATTCAAAGATATAGGGGCATCCTTTATTTTGGGGGCTGGGAGCTAACTGAAGGCTCCTTAAAGAACTTCAGAAAAATCTGAAAAAAGGAGTGGAGAACTGGACTGTGCTCAACTGGATGGCACAGCCTGTGCACACAGGTCTGTCCTAAGCAGAGTTGTGCCTTCAGGAAACAGCAGTGAGAGCAAAAAAGCAAAACCTCAGCAAATGAAACCCTGAATAAGATTCCTCTCAACTGATGAATGATACAGTGCTGGCAAAGTCAAATACTGTCCATGAAGGATGAGACAGAAATCTGTTTGTTAGCAGTCCCTGATATATACTAGCAGCAGCACTTAACATGCTTTTCTGAAGAAAAAGCAAAAACTTTTAGTAGACAAAATACACAAATACAAAATAACTCGTACTGTGAGCACTGAAACTAATGAAGACTGGCAGCTTCCTAATCCATGCTTTAATACTTCCCTAATCACTCCCCAGAAATAATTCCATCTTCAATTTCTCTCACATCACCTACTAATTAAACCAGACAATCAGCAGCATGTATGGTGGCTGATGATGCAACCAGAATGCAGATCCTTACTGGTCAGATACTTCCCGATGTGTGAGATGGAGACCACTGAGCCTAGCTCAGGACTGATGAAAATTGAGGTCCTATCATACAAAACCTGATCTTTCACAAACTGAGTTGTTCACATCCTCCAGAGGTCTACAGGTCTCATATGAGTTCAGATGCAAGAGATCAATTAGTTCAAGATCCATTGAGAAGGAACTGGCAAACAAATTTCATTAGCAGCACCCCCCAGCCCCCAAACAAAAACCCAACAGAACCCCAGAATTATTTAGGATAAAATTCCCTAAGTGTGGTTTTAATCCAATCTACAAAAGTCAGGGAGGTTTGCCTCTAAGAAGGCATGCATGCCTCTTCAGCCTCAGAAAAAATATATCCTTCCTCATCACCTGTGTAAAAGGGAAAGGAAACCAAAAGATGAACTGCCAGAAGAGGGGATTATGAACTTCTAGAGCCTCCTGACACAGGAATCTGTGGAAGATGACAGCATGAGGAGGTGCAAAAACGAAGAAGAAAAGTTCGGGGTCAACAGGTTCATAAATAGATACACAGCAGCACTACAGCCCCAAACATTCATAATCAAATACCTATGGATGTAAGGGGAATACAAGGGAAATGGACCACAGAAGGTAGCCACGCAGGCTTGTGTGGTCTCCCTAAATAGCCTCTACTCCTGCTAATATTAGAGACAGGATCCTGGACTTCACTGATCCCACTACAGTAATTTTCTATTTTTCTGAATCTTCAATTCTTGGCCACTAACATCATCCGTTCACCTTATCATGCCACTTCAAAGGGGTTTTGATACAGCATCCGAGAGCAACGTGAACACACCTTTAGTTTCACTTCCAGACAGTAAACATTAAACAAATCAACTCAGCCATCATATTCTATCATTAAATTTGAAAACTAGAGTTGTCTTCATGTATACATGTGACAGCAACACAGTACATAGGAATACATTTGCACGGGTTCATATAGTCTGTCATTCCCTCTTGACTAGACTGTATTGTGTTTGCAATGACTTCTCCAGATTTTCAGTGACATAAACGAGATCAGACTCTATTGCAATGACCAAAAATTGTAAGCTTTATCCTGAGCATCAGTCCAAGCTTCACAGGGAAGCAGTCAATTAATTCAGTAGAAGACACCCACTGCTGTTTCAAATTTCAAATAGCAGAGAACAGGAAGTTATCATAAAGAACTAGAATTTCACATACACATTTCCAAAACAAATGCCTTCCTCTCTTATCCTTGCTTTGTGTTTTCTTTCTCTGCTTGCTCTGTAAACTGCTGTGCGAAGAATAGGGTATTTCTCCTCTGCTGAGGATGACTGGGAACAAAGGGCAGAGAAATAAATTAATTTCAATAACTACTGAGTGACTGGTCATATAGTAAATCTAGAAAAAAAAAAATCAAAGAAGGCATATATATATATATAACAGCCATGGAAAACATTTTCAAACCAATTGATGGCTTAGCTCAGCTTTCATTACAGAGTTTTTCTGAGTTAAGATATCCAGCATTTTGTGTATGAAAATTTGCTTATAAAAAGAATCTTGAGAAATTACTTAATAACGGTGATCAGAGCACTAAAATGAAAGTCTAGTATCTCATAAGGAGTATGAAATTGCTTTCTTCTGTTTCTATCAAATAGGTAAAAACCTTCAGAAAAAGAAATTTCAAATTTAAAACAACAAATTGTTTTCCAGGACACTTGAGTCAAACACTACATGAAAATAATTCTGTTAATCATGTAAATTAGATTCATTTACATGGATTTATAGAGGGAGTAAGGCATTCAAGTATATAAAATTGATTTTGGTTATTCAAATTAGCAACATAAACCAGAATTTTCCTATTGTATGTGAAAGATAAGAATAAAGAGTTTATACTGAATAAGCTAAGATGATGTAAAACAGAATATAGTGTCTCTATCTCATATTTGAGAGCTACAGTTTACTGTTATGAGAAGATAAGTTAAATGATGAAGGCTAACTCATACTGTGCATATTTGCTAAAAGCAAGAACGTAATGCAAGGCTCTACATTGTACTCTGCTTTGGAAAGACAGAGGTTGGTTGGTTATAACAAATTAAGGAGATTTCACCAACAATTGCAGGACTCTAGCTGGGTTTTAAGCAAAACTGTTTTTCTTTCAAATTCCCACATTTTAATAGCTACTCAGGAAAATTTCCTCCAGGTAAATGCCTCGCAATAAGTAGCAGCCTCTGAAGTTTTCCTTATGAGGTTCCTAGGAGGAAGCCTTTCACTCCCATGATGACACAGGCACCAAATATGTAATTAACACGTGTTCATGTAATATTGTCCAAGACAGAAGCCAGATTTTAAAAAGAAATTGTAAAAAAACCAAAATACTGTATGTAAAAATATTTTAAATCTTGGGATTACGTTAACATCACTCCTTTGAGTCTGACAAAACATCCCAATATCCCCAAAGCCACACTGGCAAACAGAATTAGCTGTGCAAAAATTATGCTGTTCCAAATGCCCGGAGAGTCTCTACAAGCCCCTGTGTTCAACTACAAGTCTGTTTATAGTTTGGGTTTGGACCACTCTGAAGACATCCCTAAGAGCTCAGCAACATGACACTTTCAACAGTCACAGCTGCCCAGGCCCAGAGCTCAGTCCAGAAGCTCAAATGCAACAGTGCTGGCTTTGATTTATGAGTGCAGGGTTAGCAGCAACTGACAAGAGCCTTTAAAGATCTCATTTTGGGCTGTTGGGCATCCAGATTTAGAAAGGATTCAGGAACGTACATGCTTTTGTATTTCACTGTAGCTTAAGACAATATATAATTGTAACAATAAACTCTAAGTCAGACTTCTAGTATAACTATAGCTAGGAGGATATTAACTGCAATTCAAAATAGATATTCAAATACTAACGCACAGTCTAGTTTAAGATCATGCACATTCTCACCTGTTTAATGTTGTTTTCACTGCTGTCAGCTGGCTCACACACAATATCCCTGCCTTTTACCATAAGCAGTGCCTCTGCCCTATCTGGTTCAAACCGGAGACGAGATACTAATTTTTCTTTCAGCATTTTGTTTTGCTCATCCAGCTGGTGTAGGTGCTCTTCATCCTAAGAGTAAGAAAATAACTAGTGAATTAAATCTGCAGAGGTGACTGGTTCCCCACTGTGCCTTCAGAGCGAACTTCGTACTTTAGAACAGCTGCATGCCTTACTACGAATCAGGTGGTGGTTGGATATTTGCTTCTGCAGTGTAGGAACTTAAAGTTTACATGGTTGACAAATGGAAAACAGTTAATTGTACATTAACTGGCAAATTAAACTATTTGATTTGAAAAGGTGATTCTGCCCTTTTGCTTTGCTCTGGTGAGACCCCACCTGCAGCTCTGGAGTCCTGTGTCCAGCTCTGGAGCCTTCAGTGCAGGAAAGACATGGACCTGTTGGAGAAGGTCCAGAGAAGGGCCACGAAAACAATCACAGAGGGGTATAACACCTCTCCTATGAAAAAAGGCTGAGAGCATTGGGGTTGTTCAGCCTGGAGAAGACTGGGAAAACCTTATTGCAGCCTTTCAGTTCTTAAAAGGGGCCTATAACAAAGATGGGTAGAGACTTTTTAGCAGAGCTTGTTGCAATAGGACAAGGGGTGATGGTTTTAAACTAAAGGAGGGGAGATTCAGGCTGGATGCGAGGAAGAAATATTTTACAATGAGGGTGGTAGAACACTGGCACAGGTTGCCCAGAGCGGTGGTGGATGCACCATCCCTGAAGACATTCAAGGCCAGGCTGGATGTGGTTCTGAGCAACCTGATCTAGTTGAAGATCTCTGCTCATTGTAGGGTTGGTTGGACTGGATGACCTTTGAAGGCCTCTTCCAACCCAAACTATTTTGTGATTCTATATGTATCAAATCTACAATAGTAATACATAGGCAAAACATTTTTTGATACAGAAGCAGCTATACTAGCAATAGGCATGCAGAATTAAATAGTACCTCTAACAGTTAAGCTCTGGAAGTTAACATAAACTAAGCCACGGCTAAAGAGAAGACTTACTTTTCCACTACAGGCAATAGCTTTAATACTTCTCCACTTAGGCACAGATCATGCAATCATCATTCTTTTGGCACTGAAAAGGCAGTGAGAGCCCCCTGGCTCTGTGGACGCTGACTTGGCTGTTACCTGCAACTGAGAGCTGGTGGGTGGGACAAGGCAGGGCACTGGGGGTTAACAGCTCTCCCGAGCCAGGCTGTGCTGCCTGGCCTTTGTAGCATCAGCCTTGGTGCACAACACACCAACCTCTGAGCGGAGGGTCACAGCAGTGAAACCCAGCGACTGGGAGGTGAAGTAAGGGTAATTTTTGGTGAAAGCAATTCAGGTTTTGGTGAAAACTGCTACTTAGCAATGCTGAGTGAAGCCAAGAGTAACTTCTCTCGACAATTTCTGTACTATGGCTCTGTGCATCACGGAGAGACACTCAAAGCTGTAGGAATTTCAGAGAGACATTAATAACGCAAGCAGTCAGGTGAAACAATCAGATGTTACTAGCCCTTCAAAGTCACAATGCACTAAAGTGGACTTCTTAAAGATAAAACTACTTAGTACTTCAGTGTCTTGAAAATGGTCTGTTTGTAAGTTTTCTTGAGTCCCCAATGCATAAAGCTTACATCCTTTCCCCAGTTTCTCATTAATCATAACCTTATTTCATAATTAAAAGCTCAAAGTGTACTTTAAGAAATGTATGGATATTTTATCTGAACTGCCTGACTGCCAGATATATGAAAAGGAAAACTCTGTTCAGGGCTAACTCATCCGTGCTCGATTTGACCATGTGGCTTTCCCTGAAGATGTAAATGGTGACTAATCCTTTTATTTATCTGAAATGCTTACACTTAAAACATGATTTTTTCAAACACATTAATATGAATGAATCTGGCTTGGTGAATCAGTAATAAATGTCATACTAAGGAAATTGAATCTCAAGAGATACAATGAATAATTAAGTACTTGCAGGAAACTCATCTGTTTTTCCATTTATGCACAGGCGATTTACATGCAAAGCTCCTACTGAAGCTACTTGTAAGTTAACATTGACCAGCTACAACAATACAGAAAATTAGAGTGCTGAAGAAAGTAGCATTTTCCAGCTGCTAAAACGTATGGCTTCATTTTATCTGCAGATTTTCCTGTTTATAAATACTTGGGGTTTATGAAACATTTAGAAAGGATGAGAACTGAGACTTCCAATATGTTCCTATTATTCTAGGCCAGGTTTAGCTGAAAACTGTTCATTTTTAATCCAAGAACAAACGATTCTTTTCTAAGTTCTATTATGAATCTGGATGCAATTATTTTGAGAAGCAGTTTTGGTTATGTTTGCTGACTTGAATAACTGCATGAACGTGGTCAATACTTGTAACCGGAAACATTCTACGTGGCTGTCAAATTAACTTCCAGTATTTTACCTTTTTTTTGTTATATATGACAGATATATGTAGGGTCAGGCCTCTGTGTGTGAATAAATCACATTACTGCAAAAGTGATTGAAGGATAACATGCTCCTAACCAAATAAAGCAAACAAAATTAAAAAGAACACATGCAGAAAAATGTACAGCATGCTAAAGCAAGCACTGTATTTCATTAGGGGATATGAAGTAAGGTCTCTAAAGTAATTTTGACCCTAAAACATCACAAAACTAATCTAAGGGCATTCAGGAATGATAGGGGAATCTTAGGAGGAACCACTTTTTTTCCATATGATTCATAAGCATGAATCATAATGAAACATATTTAAATAAAAATCTTTAAATCTGTAAATAGTGCACTCAGTGTTCATAACCAAAAATAACCAGAACAAGCTAAACCAGCAAAGCAGCGAGATCCACCTGAATCCTACAGCTTTTCACCAAATTCTTTGTATTGTAGTCATGTGAAGGAATATTTGTAACACATGCTGTGCCAGGAATCCCAAGAATTACATGGATAAATATCGACGAACTCACAAGAAACCTATTTGTAGATACCAGCTAGCTAGTATTGCATACTATATAGGACAATTTTACTTACTGGTATAATATGAAGAAGCCAGAATCAAATGTATTTCTGCAGCACAACCTGTACCCTCTCCAAAAAAAAGCAGTATCTCACCTTCTTTAGGCTGGTAGAGTACCAAAGTACAGCTCAAAATAGCAAATACTATGCAAGTGTATGCCCAACTTCTGAGGCCAAAGCATTCTGACACCCATGCAGGATCCAGTAGAGAAGAAATTTCTTCGAATCTTCTTGAGTGGCTTTTGCAGAGGTATGGGCAATAAAAAGTATACACTGGTGGAAGCCAGTGTTCCCCTGCAGCCCCTGAGGCTCACCTGTGCAAGCCAGCTGAAATGCCTCTTGGGTCTCTCTTTGCTGCAGGACTGCTCCCATTTACCTTCAAAATATGCTGAATTTTCACATGCAAAACATAGTGCCAGTGGAGTGTCATGTTCTCTGGCTTTGGGTTTTATTTTTCAAGTAGTTCTTTTCCTATCACATGTGCAGCCTACAGCACGCTGAATTACTTTCACATTAACTACACTGACACTGATCAGACTCCGTCAATGTGACTGCTCTATGGATGTAACATAGATTGTTCCCAAACAGGTCCTGTTACACAGCAAAACCAAGTATTTCCACAGGACAAAAAAAAAAGCATATAGGTCATAGCCTGTTTGGATCTGTCAGATATTCAGGACAAGAGACTCTGTAAATGAAACTATTCTCTGAGCTCACTCTGAAAGAAAACAAACACAACAAACAAGAGCTCAATCCCCTTTGCATTGGAATTCACTATTTAATTCATGAGCTTTCTAACTCACAAATTCTCTGATTCATAACTTGTAACTTGAAACTCACACACCTTTGAGCAGAACAGTTACCTGCTGACGGTGAGAGTGCTCACCTTTCCTCCTCCATCACAGTGCAGGCATCTCCCGTATCATACTGGGAGGCCTGACAGCGTCAGCAGTACAGCTCCTCTTGGATCCACTTCCAAAACTTTCTGGACATGTATTTAGCCCTGCTGTTGAGAAAACACATCAGTTTCAAGAGAAGCACAAAGAGGCCAAGGAACAGAATTATATACTTAAACAATATAGTATAAAACAAAATTAACAACATGTTGTAGAGATACAGAAACTTGTGAACAACCCCCTAAACATACTGCATCAGAACTGACAAGACTGCAAATCAGACTGTTCCCTGATAAAAAGCCATTGCTGTCCTTATGAAACATTGGCGGTACTCTTCCGCACTCTTTTTTTCATATGAACTAAATACTTTTATTATTGCTTTATGAATGTTTTAGTCAAATTTCATGATGTCAGTATGAAATTCATGTGTGGTTTCTTTCTTAGTTTGCAGGTACCAAAGGCAGAGAAAGTGCCTTCAGAATTTGCCTTAATAGTCAACTCTACAATTAGCTCAGCTGGCAGACTCTTTCCTGCTGGGAGCTGGAAGGAGCCTAAGCATTATAGAGAGGTCAGAAACAAATACCTTTTAATATGGCAACTCTTATTAAAAACAAAAAAAGGCATAAGAAAGAAAAATAAAAAAGCAATGAAGCAATGTAGGCTGGACCCCTATGATTTTCAAATAAATATAATTTATTTTTACATATTTAAACTTTCCACTTTATGAGAACTGAGCTGTTCATGACCTTGCCTTCTGCAGGATTTATTTTCATGGAATCATAGAATGGTTTGGGTTGGAAGAGACCTTAAAGCTCATCCAGTTCCAAGCCCTTTCCACGGGCAGGGACACCATCCACTAGACCAGGTTGCTCCAAGCCCTGTCCACCCTGAGAGGGATGAGCCAGCCACAGCTTCTCTGGGCAACCTGTGCCAGCACCTCATCAACCTAACAAGGAAGAATTTTATCCTAATAACCAATCTAATTCTACCAGCTTTCAGTCTTGTGAGTTACGAATTTTGTCATCAGTATTTCATTTCAGATGTAACAACAAATGTTCATGTGTTTCAGCTCTGCAGACTTAACAGATACTGAATTTCTAGCAGGGCTAGTCTAGAACCTAGTAAGGGAAGTCAAAGACGCCCCTTCAAACAGTATTAATAAAGAAGAAAGATTAATTTTTATCTTCTTTGCAAGCATGGCTTTCACAGTAACGTGCTAGACAAGCTACTGATGATGATCTCCACTAAAGTGTTTTATGTTCTAGTCTTCAAGAAAGCCAGAAGGGAGCAGCACATACTGGCAACAAATACGCAGTCAGGAGCCTGGTCCAACTCTTGTTATTTGTTTTTATTAATTTATTTTTTAAGAAAATTATTGTGTTCCATGTAACACTCTGATATTCATCACAGAATATTTGCCAACAGGCTAGAAAACTGTTGTTGGCCCACAGTTTACAATGGTTTCCATTATTCCCTATTATTGAAAAATGTTAGAAGCAGGAAATTCAACTAACTAGCCTGACAGTAGACAGCTTTCATTCCATGCAATTCCAAGAGGTTCTGAAAGAAGAAACCTAAGAAACCTACAATTAGAAAAAAAAGTGTAATAAGTTGTTAACCACAGATTTTATTTTGAGGAGTCAGTATTGCCATTCTCCTACAGACGGTTGTGTAGCCATTTGCCTTTATGTCTCAGCAATGGCAGTCAGTCAGTAACTGTCAGGAGATGCACTTTGCCATCTGTCATTACAGGTTATTCATAAACTTGATGGAATGCTGAGGAAGATTCTGAGCAATCAGAGGAATCAATCTTTGGTGCCTTACATAGAAATATTGAAGAATAATTAAAACTGTCAGCCATTAGTGCATAAATACAAACATGCACACAAGTTTTTCTCATTTCCATTACATGACTGCTGGAAAAATACTGAGCTGACAAAAAGATACATACCCCTGATGGATTACTCATGCCAATCAATGCTTTCATTTCTCTGGGATGGAAGATTCAAGCTGAAACAGTATCATGAATAATTCTTGTATTTGTAAACTGTATATTTGCAACACAGTAAAACTGCTGCTCTTGTAGATCATTCATAGGAGAAGGGAAGGATCTAAGGGAACATGGAATTATTGTATATTAGTAATGCTAATGCAGGATCACAGTAACTGCAATAACTTGCTTATAGAAGGATCTTTTCTATCGTGCATCTAGTAAAAATAAAAGTGAAGAAGCTGCACACACAGTTCCAGTAAACTGATTAACTCTTATCAAAAGAAACTTTAGAAACTTCCAAATTTCTCAGGAAATAGCACATTAGTTTCCACAAGCCAGACATTAACATTTGTGAAATGAAGCTCCTCACTTTGTAAGCGTGTTCTTAAAAAAGGAAAACAAATCCTAAGTACCATGTTGTATTTTCATTAACTGTAATCAATCAGGACATCACCTTATTCAGTCGGCAGAAGACCACCAGATCACGTTCTTTTGGGTGCAACTGCAACTTTGTCTGAAGGAGGGAAGCAGAGGCATATCAAGCACCAAAGTCTGCATTGCAGCAGCGTAGCCACCACGACTTGCACGCTTTGCCTACCTTCCTGCTGAAGCTGAGGAGCTGCATCCTTTGTGTACTCAAAACTGCAGCTGAGCTCATGCTAGATAGAGAGTGCCGAGTAAGAAACCTCTCTTGACACTACCCACAGTCCATCCTTAGACAGGATCACAACGAATAACAGAATGTTATTCAAATAACAGCTGAACATATATAACAATATTTACAGATAAACAGGACAAAAGATACAGAAAAAGTAATTTATTTTTTTTTTTTTCTTTTTACAGAAGCCCTGAGATGGCCCAGAACAAACAAGATTATCTTGCTTTTAGTTATCCATATATTTGCCTCAGCACTGGTCCCTCTCACCCCCATACTCAACTGTACCCCACATAGAGGAAAGCTCACCTTATGGTAACCAGAGGATACCAGGAACTGCTCTTCTCTCATGCTAGTAGATGATAAGCACATACACATTACCCCAGACAGAAATGCTCGTTCACACACAGACAGCACCAATGGCCACCTCCTGTTCCCCTCTCCAGCTGATCAGGATGAAGGTCCATTAGTGGAAAATACATACATACACCATGGCCCCAGCAGCTGGCCCTTAGATCCTCTCTGCTCCAGTTGCTTTATACAGAGACACAGACATGCAAATTGGTCTTAGTCAGCCCCAGACCCCATGGTCTCACTAGTAGCTGGCTTGTACCTCCTAGTTCCTCCAGCAGCCACTCTGTGACAAGGCTCTCCTCTTTTATCCCCTTGTCCTTTTGTTTTCTCATAGTGCTTCCTCCTCAAACCACCTCAATCTATCCCTTTCCCCATCTTTGGTTCCTCTTCTAAGCATCACACCTTAGATCTTTTACAATCCCTAAGTGTTCTTCCCCAACATCCTATGACATGTCCAGCACCTCCAGGCAGTAAACCCCTGAGTTACTGGCATTTCCCCCATATGCCATGGTGCTTCTATGCTTCTTTGAGCCGCGGAGAGGAGTCTTTAATCACATAACCTAACGCATTCTGTTTAAAGTCCCAAAACTTGATTGTGATTAACATATTGATCAAATTGTTAATAGACAGTTAATGATTTATAGGTGCTTCCTCTAGAAGATCCACTAAGTGTACACAGGGGTCACTGTCTGAGGTGCAGTTATTTCTCTGTAGAAATTTGACATATGTTCTCACTAACTACTAACGTATAGTTAAAGGAATTCACCATTTGAAATCATATTGAAGACAAGGAAGGGGGGGGTTTAACAGCAAGAAGTAATCCTTGAATTAGCCCGCCCATAAAGTTTTGAATAAAGTCACATTGTGAGAGAGTGATCAGGGACTCACTTTTGTCATCTCACAGGAACACTGAGTGTTTATTTAATTTCCCTTGGTCACGATGCTTCAGTTAAATCTTGTCTAGGTCATCTCTTTTCTAGTCTTGATAATTACTATGGACATTTCTGATACAAACTGCATCCTGCACTGATTCCATGCAATTTCAAGTTGTTATTCTAATTAAGGAGTCTCAGACTTACAATACATCAATGATGAAGTATCTAGGCAGCACATGTGTATATGATGCTCCAAAAAAAGCAGCTATAATTTTTTTCCTTGGTAGTTAGTTGTGCTTCTTAGGCAATTCAGAATACTGAATACTAGTGCAAAAGCACAGAAGTCATTGCTTTCTTGTCAAGTTTGCCCAGACAGAAAAATACATCCAAGTACTCGGGAGCATCATGTTCCCAATAGTCAGCAGGAGGGAAGCTTCATTAGGTGGAATTGCTTTGTTTCTCACCCACTGCCTGTCTCCACTGCATGGCTTCTCACACACATGATGCCAAACACAGTGGGAAGGGACCTTTACCTCTTAATACAGCTTGCTCTGATGTGCTACAAGTTATTCTCACACTCTGGAAACCAACCACGATGTACTGTGCTCTGTTTCTCAGGGTGCAGGGAAACCACTGCTGATGTGCTGCACAACTACCTGTTCCTGTGCACTGGTGGTTTGTCTGGAATTGTTATGCCAATGCTCTGGTCCCACACACTTTATTCAGATCCTATACCTGAAAAGTAAAAAGGAAATGTTCCAGTTAGCTTAAAGCTACTACAGGGCTAGCTTCAGGCAAACTTAGCCCTCATTTTGCCTCATTAGTGAAAGTCCTTACATTTTGATTAAGAGTACATGATTGGTGTAACTGCTATAGTTATTTTTCAGCTGTTGCTACCTTGAATTATTAACAACTGACAACCCAGCAGAATAATAACATTCATCTCCCTGCAATCATGCGAATATGTGAATCCTTTGCTCTTCCTACACTATATGTATCCTGCAATAAAAATTTCTCCAGTGGCTGAGGACTATCGCTTCAGTCTCCTATAACATAAACCAGAAAAAGAAATAATCTACATGAAACATGACGAAGTATAATGCTGAAAAAAAATTACTGGGCCTGACAAAACCATGTCTACACTAAGTCAAACAGAAAAGGATGAATGTCTTACTGGCATTACATATAGAAGAGTAAGTTTTCTAGACTTGATTAGAAGAAAATTTAGTGAAGCCACAGTGCTAATTCAATAAAAATACAGAAGACCTGATCCAGCTGAAAGTGAAGTTAAATAGAGATGTAAGAGAAGTTGTGCCCAATTTCGTCATTTAGTGTTATTATTCACTGAAAGCGATAGGTCTCCGATCCAAAATCTCATGCCTTTTAAATTCAGTGTTTTGAGAAATATACTTAAATCCCTCTAATTTTGTTCAACTTTTTAAGGGAGCTTTTTGTTCATAGAAAGGACAATATATTACTAGAACTATGCAACAAATCTTCAAAGAAGGTTGAAGTGGCACTATATCATACTTCTCTTTAAAACCAAATGCAGGATATAAAAAGGAAGACTAGGTGTGCAAATACCACATTCATTAAAATAATGCAGACTTTTGTATTAGCATCTAATAAAATTTGGTTTTAGTCAACTCAAATTGGTACCTCATAGAGCAGTAGCAGACGCGTGCAATGCTCTTCAGAGCCACTGCGTTGTGATGTATCAATGAATGCTAAGACAAAGGTCATTTTGCTTAAAGAGCCCTCCATAGTTGAGAACAGAATGTATCGCATAAAATACGCTAGACCACTGTGAAAGCATTATATTTCT